GGTGTGGGCTACTGTGCACAACAATTTTGGCTATCAGGTGTAAACATCTCTGTATGATACTGTGGTTTAATTAGAGTTTGCAGGAATTGGGTGCACACTTCTACTCCTCTACTTTTATGTTTTCTACCTCCCCCTACCCAGTCCTGCCTCAAAAACAAAAAAACCACATGTGGACCTAGAAGTATGTACTAATGACTCCTTTATACAACACAAGTCTTATGGAAATAGGTCCAGAACAGGGCTTTCTGAAATGCAGAGTGGAAAGAGGGATTCTGGAAAATGTTAAATTGGAGAAGGAAAGAGGCTAGTTGGCAATGTAGTTGCACCGGATTCCAAGATGGAAGCAGAGATAATGGGAGCCACTGTCTCCCAGAAACAAAAATACTCACCTTTATTCTTCCATTGCAGATATCTTGAGAATTACTGGGTTCCATGTAATTCTTTCATTCATGGTGTCCTTACTTTTATTCTCAGATTATTAGAATATTCATCCTTCATAACTAAACTCAAATGTCAAAGCTGCTGGGAGGCATGCCTTAATCTCTCAAGCCCAAATTAATCATTCTTTCTTCTGCACTCTCTCAGAATTGCACTTACGAATTTATTAAAGATTAATTTTGTCCTACCATAATTTGTTAGTAATAAATCAGTCCTCCCTCCAGTATAAGTTTCTATTAAGATAGTGATTAGGTCTGGTGCATATATGTGTATGCTACATGTCCTGCATGTTATTAAAATAATAAAAACAAGTAGTTAATAAAACTTACTCTTAAGGACTATGCCAGATTTTTAGAAGTATCTCTTAAGAGGCAAATGTGTGGCCTAACAGCTAAACACCTGTGTCTCACTTCAGAGTACCTAGGTTCAGTTTCTGATAATGCGTGCTGTGATAGAATACAATGGAGGCTCAAGCAATTGTGTTCCTCTTATCCTTGTGACAGATCAGCATTGAGTGCCCACTTCCAGGGCTTTAGCCCCTAACTGGGCTGGGGTGCATAGCAGACATTTGAGGAGTGAAACAGCAGACAGGAACTGTGCCTCAGTCTCTGTGTCTTTTTCCCAAACAAGTTTTTAAAATATTAGAAAAATATATATCTCTTGAAGATGTTAATAAAGCTACCCTATAAAATGAACCATTCATATTTTATGTAATAAAATGAAATGTGAAAATAAAGTGTGTGAGAAATACAGAGGAGAAATTAGTTAATGGTGGAACTAAGATTCAAAGCAAGATGCTTCCTGATACCAATGCACATACAATTCGATAATTGCTGTAATGAATTTTCATCCCTGGTTTGATTGCCTAACCAAGATGAAAGGTTGCCTTTTGATCACAAGCTTTGTTTACATTAACATAAAATGAACTTAACCATGTTATTGATGGGCATTAAAAAGACTTTGATAGTATCTGTAATCTTTCTTCTTTGGCAACTTGAGAAATCTGCTATAATCTCTTCAAAGAAAGTCAGATTATCTTGTCTCATAAAGAGTTCTCTGTATTTCTATCTTAAAGAAAGGAAGATCGAATTTGTTACATAGGAAAAACATTGTGTAATGTCTCTATAGATTTGGGCATGTCAAGTGCTCATTGAACAAAGCGAAGGTGCTAAATTTATTCTTAGAGAGAATAAGGAGTTCAGTGTACATGACATATTCATTCATATCCTATTAATTCCATACGTATGATAAGTCAAGCTTTAGCAATTTGAAATATCTTAGTCTAACAATATCAGAAAGAAAATAGGCATGATAATGCAACAAAAATTCTAAATAAGATTGAGGTTGTAAAAGAAAGTTGTTTCAGAAAATTAAGTTATGGTTAGACCTAATTTAACAACTTGTAAATCTACACGGGCATCATGCTTCCTCTCTCCAATATGTTGCTCAAATGATTATCATTGCTAACAAAATTAATCCTTCCCTGCACTATTATTATTTATACTTCTCTAGGCATTATCCCTGCTTTGTCTTCCAATAACCTTTCCTTTTTATCTATGCCAAACTTTAATACTTTTTTCACAAATAAAAAACTCAGAGATATGACACATTACCCACAACTCAAATTTTTTAAATGCAAGGATTGACATTTGAATTAAAATCTGACTTCAAATGCTATTCGTTTTAATTTTGTCATCATATTGACTACAGCCTGAAACTATGTGCAATTTCTGTACCTAACAATAGCATTTATGACAAGACCCTTGGCATAGAAGATCCTAGATGAAAGCAAACCGAATGTTGAAACACATTATGGCTACACATAACTATAAACAGTTAGTCTTTTCTACTCAGGAAAGCAGTTTCACAGTCATCCCAATATCAAAGCTCATTCTCTCTACTCATTATTACATTCACTGGTGTTACAGTGTCGAGAATAGAGGAATATACCTTCCCAAACAAAAACCCATATTTAAATATTTTAAGATATTTAATAATTTAGATGTTTCATTACTTTAACACAGCCAGCTTTTAAAACACAATTATCCAAATTAGTGAGGTTGGTTTGACAAGTACCTGTGACCAATGAGCAAAGAGAATCATTGAAGACTGTGCTGAGGGCCTACCGAATACCATCAGTGCTAATAAGGGCAGCATCAGACAGCCCAGTCCTTAGTATCCCCCTTAAATCACAAATTTATTTATGAAGGATGCAAAAATTATCTCAAGAAATGCAAGGCTGCCAATGAGATAGCACAGATTCTTAAAATCCCATGTTTTCTTTGCAATACTGAAGTTCAAAAAGCCCTCTGGGGCTTGGAGAAGTCCCTGCCGGTGTTGTGCTCAGCTGGGAGGTGGAATCAGGTGGCAGAAAGTTAAGGGCACCACTATAGGGGACCAGACACGTCTGAAACTGTCAGGACACTTCTACTGCAGGGCATGGCAGCACTTACAGTACGCTTAAAATTTCTCCAAGTGTTTTCTGGAGCCCACAAGAGTGTGGTTTCTTTCTTCATCTATTTTCCTCTCATCCTGTCTTTCAATGTCTCCTCAAAGTCAAGGTAAGTGGCAAAACAAGCAAACAAATGAGGTTCATGTTATCAAGAGAAACCTTAATTAAGGTCCATTGAAAAATAAAGTTAATCAAAAGCTGGGAAAGCTCAGCTTATCTCCTGAAAACCAAGGAGGTATTGAAGAAAGAAAACATATCAAAAGACACAGACCGCTGCATCTAGCACAGAGTACAGTGTCCGATAGATGTTCAATAAAAAACAGATACGCAATAGCACAGTATTATGTGTAGAGTTTTTTTTTTTAATATTTGGTGGGGGGTTACCTAACATTTTCACTTACACTAAAAAGGAGATATTATTTTAAACCATGACATTACCAGTTAGTACTTCTGCATTTGAAAACTGTGTGGTTCCATTTACTACATTACAAATATGTCATGAACTAACCAATCAACAAGGTAGAGTCAAAACTATGTTACAATTTTTAATCCTAAATTCCTAAGAAAAAACTGTTAATTCAACAATAGCAAGACCTCTATCTCTGTTGAGCTTAGACATACACAAATTTCTATTCAAATGCTGGAGAGAAATGTTAGTAAACAGCCATTGCTTCTATGATGGAGGATGATGTATGGTAAGTTTCAACTCCATTTGATGTATAGCTCACTACATTTGGTTAAGTAGATGATATGTTACTCTGTTTTGACCAAGGTTAGCTAAGGGAAGTTTACATCTGATGTACTTGTTTCATGAGGATTTCAAGTGCCAGACTATGGATCCTTTTTAAAAGAGAGGGAGAGAAAGAGGTCTTTCATCAGCCAGTTCACTCCCCAAACGGCCACAGTGGCCAATAGGCCAATCTAAACCCAGGAGTCGGGAACTTCTTCCAGGTCTCCCACTTGGGTACTGGGGCCCTAGCACTTGGGCCATTTTCTACTTTTCCAGGTCATAGAAGAGAGCTGGATCAGAAGTGGAGCAGCAGGAACTTGAACCAGCGCCCATTTGGGATGCCAGAAGACTCCAAAGTTCTGTGACATTTTCATCTCATTAAGAACTTCATTTCTGGCCAGTGCCGTGGCTCACCTGGCTAATCCTCTGCCCGCGGCGCCAGCATCCTGGGTTCTAGTCCCGGTTGCTCCTCTCCCAGTCCAGCTCTCTGCTGTGGCCTGGGAAGGCAGTGGAGGATGGACCAAGTGCTTGGGCCCTGCACCCACCCAGCCTAGCCCAGTCCTGGCTGTTGCAGGTATTAAGGGGTGAACCAACTGATGGAAGATATCTCTACTTCTCTTTCTCTCTCTGCCTTTCAAATTCTCTTTGCCTGCCTTCCAAACTAAAAAATGAAAATAGATAAATAAAAACATCTAGCCAAAAAACAAACTGACTCCCTGATAAAGTAAAATGGTAGGGATCCCTCTGGCCTGCAAACTAAGGTACAAACGGGACAGTCTGCAAGGCACGGAAGTGTCATTTTGGTCTTCCGAGGGCCAGCTCGGGCCTTCTGACCAGAGTCAGGAGAAAGAAATGGTGGTGTTATTTCTACGCTAGGACCGGAGGAGGGAATGAAGAGAGAGTGGGGGGTGGGGCGAGTTAGAGAGACCCCAGCCTCTCCGGGACCCCACGTGAGAAGTTGTCCATCAGGGGCTGAGTAACTGGGCAGACACCACCAGGCTGGAAGCAGCAACAAGTTTGCCCCCAGACCGTCCCCCGCCCCGGGGCGGGGGTAGACACTGCACCTGCCAGGAAGGAGCACCCACTGCAGCAGGAGCGATTGATGGGTGAGAAAGGCTGCACCCAGGAGGAGTCTGTGGGAGGAGGAGGAAGCCCCACGTCTCAGGAGCCACCGCCCCCCAGGCAGTCCAGGAGTTGCCGAACCATGGCACAAAATTATCCCAGCCACGCTCCCTCCTCCATCTCCCTCCCAACCCACAAAAGCAGCCAGGCCAAGGTCATGGCAGCAGGCCCCGGAAGTGGCATCTCCGGGCAGCTAATCGGTGGCCCCGGGGGGCCCTCGGGCCAGGCGGGGCGAGGGACCCCCCCCCCCACTCGCACCCGTGCACAGCCAGGTCCCAGCTTCCCCCTCCTGCTTGTCGCCAAGAACTCCAAGGATCCACAGCCGCAGAGGTGTCTCTCCCTGTGACCTCTGCAGCCCTCGGGTGTAGACGAAAGGGTTGAATCCGGCCTGGATCTGGTCCGAGCCTGCCCGAGGCCTCGGAGCGGCGACGGTGGAACACGAAACAGGCGGGAGGAACAGGTAGAGAAGCAGCCTTGGGCTGCGGAGAGCCCCCGAGGGCGGCGGCAAGGACGCAAGCGTAGGAGGCCACCCTGAGCGAGCAGGGGGTCGAGATGGAGGCGACGGTGACGGCCAAGTTCCAGCCGCAGCCCCCGGGGAGCGTCACGCAGGCGGCGATGGACGCCAGGGAAGGGCAAGGGGACGATGAGGACGGCGTGCGCGGCGGCCTGGGGCGACGCCTGAAAGCGAGGCGACGCCCGTGAGGCAGGTGGCCCTCGCCACGCAGGCCCCGCCGCCCCGATTCGCCCGTTGGCGGCGTTAACGGTCAACGCCGGGGCCGCGACGCCGAGAAAGTAGATCCGGGCGCGTGAGCCGGGGGGCGGGGCGGCCAGCATCCGGGTCTCCGCGCGGAGGAAGACAAGTCCGGGCGCTGAGCAGGCAGTGGGCTCCGCGCGCGCGGGGACAAAGGGGATGCGAAGTGGGTGAGCGGGCAGGGCAGACGAACCTGGCGGGAACGTGGAACTTCCCGGAGGCCGAGGGTGAGCCGGTACGAGAGCGAAAGAGAGAAAGAAGACATAGGCCTGAGACTTCCGGGAGGATGGGGGGTGGGGTGCGGGGTAAGGGTGGGCTCACCTCTGGTACCTCCTGATCCAACGCGGTTGTTCCTGATTGGTTCGGACCCAGGGGCTTCCCTTTTATGGTGAATGCTAGAGCTGTTCCTGCGTGAGTTTGGGTTTCCCCAGAGTGATGCTGCTTTTTCCGGAAGTCGGGTCTGCCTCTCCAAATGGAGGCACTTTTTCAAAATGTAGTTACTCTGGCCCTTCATTCCCCCCTTGTTTTTGCGCATATTTAAAGACCCAATCATGGGTTGTGGACTGACATTTCATAAGTTTCAGTCATGTTTAAAGGCTTGTATTGGGACCCTTGGACCATTAACTGAATGGTACCCAATCTCTGTTTCATGAACTGCACAAGTCTGTTAATAATGTAAGGGCCAAAGGTTAAGATTAGAATTAGGAGAACAAGGGGCCCTGTGAGTCCTGTTAGTAGGGTGGTTAGCCATGGAGATGAATTAAACCAAGACTCGAACCACCCCTGAGAGGTTTCCCGTTCTTTTTTTCTGTTTTGCCAGTCCTTCCCTGCCTTGAGCCATGTTATCTTTTATTAGGCCCGAGTGATCAGCGTAAAAGCAGCATTCTTCCCCAGACCAGCGCACAACCCCCCTTGTTGCAAGAACACTAGGTCGAGTCCCCACCTCATCTGTAACACAACTTCAGCCAGAGATGAGAAGGCTTGTTCTAAGTGGGTAATGGCGTTTTCTATGCGTTCTATGTCAATATCTATAGCTGCACTTATTTTGGAGTAATGCTGATTTTGGGTAACTAGGGCCGATACTCAGCTGCCCAGCCCCCCAGGCTGGCTCCTATTAGTAAACTCAGAGTTAGGGCGGTTATGGGCTCCCTTTTATATCTGTGGGTTTCAATCATTTCCTGTTTGTCCTGGACTTTATTTAAGAATTCATTATTTGTATGATACAGAATTTTGGGGACCAGTCTAACAAGTATGCAATAATCAGTGTGATTTAAGACCTGGAGATGGGCACAGGGGTAAGGCCGGTAGAACAAGCCTACCAGGTGTCATTGCGAGGTGTGATATACCGGTTTGCCAGGTACACCTTAAGAGTAGAATTACAGAGATGCTTTTTGCTGTGGGGGACCTGTCCCAAGCAGAGTCCCTGCCCCGAACCTGTCCCAGAGTTAAACCCTGGTTACGGCTTTTCCATCTACAGTTAGCGGAGGAGGTAGAGTTAGAAAACGTGGCAGTGAGGCCGGCGCCATGGCTCACTTGGATAATCCTCTGCCTGCGGCACTGGCTCCCTGGGTTCTAGTCCTGGTTGGGGTGCCGGATTCTGTCCCAGTTGCTTCTCTTCCAGTCCAGCTCTCTCCTGTGGCCCAGGAAAGCAGTGGAGGATGGCCCAATCCTCATGGGAGACCAGGAGGAAGGACCTGGCTCCTGGCTTCAGATCAGTGCAGTGCCAGTCGTGGTGGCCATTAGGGGAGTGAACCAACAGAAGGAAGACCTTTCTCTCTGTCTCTCTCTCACTGTCTATTACTCTCTCTCTCTGTCTCTCTCTCACACTGTCTAACTCTTCCTGTCAAAAAAAATTTTAATTAAAAAAAAAAGAACTTCATTTCTGAGACAAAACAGGTTAGGAGATATAGTTTTGGCTCATGATTGTACATGACCAGGCAAAAATATGCAATATTTTAGTATTATGAAAGAAAGGTTGAAAAAAAAAAAAAAAGGTTGGGATAGCTAAATAAACGTCTTCACTGCAACTAGCATACTATTATATATATATATATGTATATGAGATATGTATATGTGTATGAGATATATAAGAGATGGGTATTTGTTTGCACCAGGACAGTTCCTTAGGAAGTACACCTATATTTCCTGGTTTCCCTAGGATGCAAAAAGTGAAGATTCGCACAGTGAAGCTGTGGCCATTTGGAATTCTGCATAACATATCCTACACCAGCATGCTCATCCTAAGAGACAGATCCTTCAGTAAAGCAGTACTCTTCCCTTGGGCCAGGAAGGGAAGTGGTTGTCTGGTAAATTGGTGCCATTTTTGTTTTCTTTGCCTATAAAAATAGTGTATGCTTTCTTTCTCTACACCTAGAGTTAGTGCATGCTTAATTCTGTTAAAATATGAGTTGGCCAACATGATTTAAAATTTGATATCAATTGAAATTCATTTTCCAAACTGTGGTACGGCCATAGGAGTCTAGAATAAACTTATTGACAATCCTCCAACATTGGCACACACATACACCTAATTACTTGAATGTTATAACTTCTTGTCAAGGATAGAAATGAATTTTAGTCAAAGAGAATATAGTTACTAGTTTTTTTTTTTTGAAATAATTCTTATCATCTTAAAGTACTTTATGTAACATGATAGGTAAACAACTATGTGCATGCAGCTGTTATAGAGGAGATGGTTCCTGAGAGTGGGATATAACTGTAAATAAGCACCACAAATTTCAGGGTGTAGATTTGTCTCGCCTTTAACTTTTTCAGTCTTTTGGGCAAGTTAGATAATCTTTCTGGGGCCTCTTTACTTATCTGTAAAATCAAGGGGGTGAGTTTGTTTCCGTAAGGTTCTTTCAGCTATTATATTCCAAGGATATGTGGATTTTGTTGTCACTTTCAATCAAGTTTAATTTTCTTCAAGAATCAGTCTTTTCACCTTTGGAAATTTGTTTCAATTTTTATCTATAGTCTCAATATTCCCAAATCCTCATTTTAGTTTTGTACTCAAAGTCTGCAAAGGTATTATTTTTAGCAGTTCCCCAAAGGAATTGGAGAAGAGTCTCATCTTTGGCTCATTACCTCTGAGAACCAGCTCACTGATGCCTGCTGTTTCTACACTCCTGCCTGTAATTGTCACCAAGGTCAGCACAGGTTCAGCACCTCTGTCAAACGGGGAAATCAAAATGAGTTATCTCGTGTTGAAAGCTGACTTGTCTTAGGATCCCTTGGGCTTTCAGGTTATTGAACACTGACTAGATAAGGAAATGCCACACTAAGCAGCTATGAAAAAATACACAAACAGGAACTTGGCAGTTGCACTTTCATTTCTAAGTCTTCCAAATTAAAATTCTTAATACAAGGAAATAGTGGACTCTAGTACTTGTTTATATATCTAGGAATCCAAGCATATACTCGTGTTCTTAAATTCTGGCTGTTCTATTACTATGAAGTTATAGGCCTGGTATTTCAATTAGAAGCTCAACTAGAGAGCAGAGGTAGAAATAAGTGTGGATTAGAGGTAGGTGTTTGAGTAATGGACTTGGAGATTCCTCCAGCAGTCAGGATAGAACAGACTTTGTTTTCCATTTTACATGCTTCTCATTTCACAGATCCGGTAAGTCCATGCAAAATTTAATTCATTCTCAACCTATGCTTAGACATTGCTCTGGTCATGGGCACTAGCTAAGATCTCCGCTATCATGAGTAATACTCTCTGTCATCATTTGTAATCTCCTATATCTGTGAGCCCCAAGCCTCCTGGATTTGAATTGAGAACTTCTTTGAAGCACCTTTCACCTCTACTTTATTTTTCTAAAAAAAAATGTTGCAATTTGCAAGGGGATAGATCTAAGAGAAGGCATTGGCTATTCCAACAGTCTCAGCATCACTTTATCATTTGAAAATTCTCAAAGAATTTTTTCTCTGTATATAAACGCAAATCTGTGAGAGTCTCCTTTAAGTAAAACTTGTACTGTCCTTTCTAGCTAAAATGAAAATAAAATATTTATTTATAGCATTCCATGTGATAAGGATCAAATATTATTTTATTTAATTCTTACATAAAAGAAATTGTGAACCTACTTTGCATTTGATAAAACTGAGATGTTTGAGAGTTAGGAACTTAAAGTTGTTTAATCTATAAAGGACTTTATAATTGAGTTCAGATATGGTTTAAATCCTTGGATCCCTCTCCATCAGTCTACAAACACTGTTTCCAGCTTGGTAAGTGTTTGTGCCAGTGAGCCAGTTGGGCCTTCCTTACTTGATATCCCCAGCCATCTGCCCTACTGCTTGCTCTTTATGCCTGTCTGCTATGGCTGACAATTCTCTGGACGTGTGTTCACTTCTCCCAGACCTCAATATATTCAGGGTTCTGCCTGTGACCTTTGGTCAGCATTCTTGGCTTCTAGTAAAGACAGAATCATTTTGCATTATTGGTACCTTGTGCTACCTCAGAGAAGAATTGCTAAGAAATGATTTCTCAGGGTCAAACCAGGACCTACCTTTCATCAGCCAGGATCCTGCTAAATTAGGGATCTAGGCAGCTGAAGAGAGGAACACTTTGTGCATTGGCCATTATCAACTCCCTCCTTATTTACTATTATTTATCTTCTTTTAAAGTTTTATCTCTTTATTTAAAGGTTGTCAACTTGTCAGCTTTCTGATTTTCCTTTTTTAGTCATTGCCTTTGGAAAGTAACAAAATTCTGCAGACTCTGATACAGCTGAATATCGTCAACTAGAAATATCATTTTGGGAAAGAGAATTTATACATTTCACTCCTTTTTTATCTGTGTTGAACTGCAAAGGATGGAAAATTGAATCGTATGCTACTATCTGGTCAACAAATGTGCCCACGCTAGCAATGCTTTATGATGACTTTTCAGAGCTGTAGCAAGTCCAATCCATGATTAAATACAAATTTTAACCTTCTTGCTTCACACGGAAAATGAGATTTGTGCCGTGGACTTCTTTTCTGAAATGTTGAAGCCAGCAGAAAGTCTCATCTTGCCATCCAGTTTTTCTTTCTACCATTTCTATTTGCATTCCATTTGCATAATGTTGAAAAATGGAAGCAACCAAATATTTTTTTTCGTAACTGAGCAGTGAGAGAAATGGAATATGCAGCACTCTCTTCAACTGCCCATTGCTTCAGGATAGGGGCAGTGCAGTGCATTAAATGATTAGAAATTGATTTTTTCTTAAATTTACAGTCTTTCC